TAGATTTAAGATAATTTCGTCTTTCTTCTAGAGGTTTCCAATTTAGATTATTGAGTAACTCAGATGACCGAATATCGTAGGTTGCCCCAGTAATTACTCTTGCAGCACGATTTTGGTATTTTTGCAAAGAATGTACGAATATGTAATAGGTTTACTAAACTGCAAACCCGTGTAAGGTAAATAAAGTTTAAAAATTGTTGTGGTGTAAAATTTGTAACCAAAGCCTAGAGTTTCAAGCCTCCGGCTTTCGGCTATAAAATACGTCTGTTTTGGTATACCCTGTAGCCACGGTTTGTGGCTAAAAATGTGCGGCTTTTCGTGGCATACCTAAACACCTCATAGCCACAGTTTGTGACACACACGCGCGTAAAATCTCACATCTTGTAGCAAGTCTATCAACAAGTTGTGTTCGCACTGCTTGTCCCAAGTTGTCAACAAGTTTGAAACAAGCTGCTATAAATTTGTAACAACCTTGTTGATAATATCAGACTTGTTGCAAGGTTGTTCCAACAAGTCCGATACAGTCATGATATAACAATATTGTTACAACCTTGTGTCGTCAACCTTGTAACATTCTTGTTATATCATGACTGTATCAGACTTGTTAGAACAACCTTGTAACATGCTTGTTATATCATGTCTGTATCAGACTTGTTAGAACAACCTTGGAACATTCTTGTTATATCATGACTGTATCAGACTTGTTAGAACAACCTTGTAATATTCTTGTTATATCATGACTGTATCAGACTTGTTAGAACAACCTTGTAACATTCTTGTTATATCATGACTGTATCAGACTTGTTAGAACAACCTTGTAACATGCTTGTTATATCATGACTGTATCAGACTTGTTAGAACAACCTTGTAACATTCTTGTTATATCATGACTGTATCAGACTTGTTTGAACAACCTTGTAACATTCTTGTTATATCATGACTGTATCAGACTTGTTAGAACAACCTTGTAACATTCTTGTTATATCATGACTGTATCAGACTTGTTAGAACAACTTTGTAACATTCTTGTTATATCATGACTGTATCAGACTTGTTAGAACAACCTTGTAACATTCTTGTTATATCATGACTGTATCAGACTTGTTAGAACAACCTTGTAACATTCTTGTTATATCATGACTGTATCAGACTTGTTAGAACAACCTTGTAACATTCTTGTTATATCATGACTGTATCAGACTTGTTAGAACAACCTTGTAACATTCTTGTTATATCATGACTGTATCAGACTTGTTAGAACAACCTTGTAACATTCTTGTTATATCATGACTGTATCAGACTTGTTTGAACAACCTTGTAACATGCTTGTTATATCATGACTGTATCAGACTTGTTAGAACAACCTTGTAACATGCTTGTTATATCATGACTGTATCAGACTTGTTAGAACAACCTTGTAACATTCTTGTTATATCATGACTGTATCAGACTTATTAGAACAACCTTGTAACATTCTTGTTATATCATGACTGTATCAGACTTGTTAGAACAACCTTGTAACATTCTTGTTATATCATGACTGTATCAGACTTGTTAGAACAACCTTGTAACGTTCTTGTTATATCATGACTGTATCAGACTTGTTAGAACAACCTTGTAACATGCTTGTTATATCATGACTGTATCAGACTTGTTAGAACAACCTTGTAACATGCTTGTTATATCATGACTGTATCAGACTTGTTAGAACAACCTTGTAACATGCTTGTTATGTCATGACTGTATCAGACTTGTTAGAACAACCTTGTAACATTCTTGTTATATCATGACTGTATCAGACTTGTTAGAACAACCTTGTAACATTCTTGTTATATCATGACTGTATCAGACTTGTTAGAACAACTTTGTAAAATTCTTGTTATATTATGACTGTATCAGACTCTTGTAACAAGTCTGATAATGCCATCGAGCTTGTTAGAGGGGTTGTTAACAGCCTGGGAACAAGCAGTGCGAACACAACTTGTGAACAGATTTGTAACAACTTGTGCATTTTTACGTACATTGGCATCAGTTCAGTATATATATACATCAACTTGTGGTGGTTAGAACTCGACAACTGTCTCTCTGTAGCTCAGTTGGTTAGAACTCGACAACTGTCTCTCTGTAGCTCAGTTGGTTAGAGCTCGACAACTGTCTCTCTGTAGCTCAGTTGGTTAGAGCTTGACAACTGTTCTCAGCTGTAGCCCAGTTGGTTAGAGCTTGACAACTGTCTCTCTGTAGCTCAGTTGATTAGAGCTGAACAACTGTCTCTCTGTAGCTCAGTTGGTTAGAGCTCAACAACTGTCTCTCTGTAGCTCAGTTGGTTAGAGCTCGACAACTGTCTCTCTGTAGCTCAGTTGGTTAGAGCTCGACAACTGTCTCTCCGTATAGCTCAGTTGGTTAGAGCTCGACAACTGTCCCTCTGTAGCTCAGTTGGTTAGAGTGCTGCACTGGAATCTATAGGGTCAGAGGTCAGATCAGAGGGTCTATAGTTGAATTTCTGGTTAGAGTTGAAATTTCCATGTACAAAAACCGCTTCAACACCTTTTTCAGTGGACCCTGGGCTCACGATGACGTCACTGTGATGTCATCAATTACGTCATAGCCATAATGCGCAGTAAAAGTGCGCAGTGCGAAACCGCCAAAAGGCCTATAAAACTATATATAGTATTTTGCCGGCAGCAGAAGTCCACGGCAAAAATGTTCAACAATATATTTTGTCTGGGAGATAGGATGGCGTGTTGTCGCTTGGCAACGAATAGCAACTTAGCCCAAACAATAAATAAGCTATGATCAAATATCTGCCGATAATCATTGCGTCTGCAATTATTTACCCGAGACAGCTGTTCAGCGAATTAGTTCGCAGTCAAACAAATACTTCGAAGATTATAGTTTTACCGAAAGGCTTTGCTCTGCTGTTTTGAAGTAGCAAATCAAAGGATTTTGGACATCAAGGCAAGTCTGTCGTGTTTTGTGTGGGCAAAGGGATTGTGATTTATGAACCAGTAACGCTAACAGGTATAAAACGAGGGGGATATATATACACGCTTTTAAAGTGTTATTCTGATATTGGCCATTCCGCGATAATTTTAATAGTCCGAGCATAAAATCAACATTCTGCGAGTGTATAAGCAAAGATTGATAAAATTCCTAAACGGGCTGTAAAGATGTAGAGATATCATATATAGTGTGTAGTGTATTCAGTGTATTGTTTTACGAGCAAAGAACACTACAGTCAAATTAGCCTGTATAGCTTACGGCAAGAAATTGGCTTCAAATTGCAAAGATTCTACGTATATTGGCTATTCTGTGGTATTCATTTGAAAGCATATAACCGAATCTGAGAAATTTGGTGACTTGAAAATCGCTGGACAAAACGGCTAAGCAGAAAAGCACCATTTTAATATATCTGTACGACGTCTCGACTTTTATACAATTCGAAAGGCGTAATCGATCGCTGTAATCCTGTTAATTTGCAAAGGTTGCAAGCGTTTATTGTGATATCGGCCTGCGCTTTGTGACACGTTCAAAGAGCGTATACAATTCCAGTGGGACAATTAGGGAAAGCATTTTGCGAGTAGTAGAAGACTCGAATAAAACTATTCTCGAAACATTAATACACGGCTGTGAAAAGCATTAAAGATATCGCGTGTCTTGCGCAGACTTGTACAAATATCAAGGTGAACGCTTACACGACGTTATATTTTCATAAGAGAACAAAAAACCCAAACAAAAAGGACATCTGTTCACAGTTGTCAGGCAACGCGAAGTGCAATTACATTAAAAGAGGTTTGACCCGCGACAAGCAATACCAAAGAGGATTACATAATTTACACTGAACTTGAAAAAGGTCTTCGGGATACTATCTGATTAATTATACACTCGTGACGCGTTTGAAAGTTATTAAAATATTCGTTAAAAACACATCAGCCGACACGAAACAAGGAGTGCGATTTAAAAGTGTTTGACTTTTAAAGATACGTGTATTTCAAGAACAAATAGCTCTTTTTTCTTTTCTTCACGGAAAATTCGAGATTTTCTGTTCAACGTGTTGACGGAGTTGAAAGACTATTAATCATTTAAAATTACGTCAGATAGCATTCTCTAAGCGGAATTAAAGTCAAGAGGTGAACTGTCATCAAAACTTTGGCAAAACAAGGAAAAGTGAATCGCATTTATCAGGACGCTTAACCGCCTTTGCTTTCACGTAAAAAACTGATAGATTTCGCGCGATTTCAAGCGCAACGGAGGCAAATTATACGGCAACACACTGTTGCTAATTGGGGTCGCATTTGTTGAAAGAGGTTTCGGTTTCAAAGACGGAAAATACCTAAGGGGCACAGTTGAACACTGTAAAGTCATCAACGATTTCCTAAAGCTAAGAAGACTAAACGAAGACCAGATATATTCGTCATTTCACAACACGACAGAGTTCTTTTGACACTGAAGACAGTTTATTAGCGAGAAAAGATCGTAAGAGCCCGTCGGTGAACGAAAAGAAAAGCGTGGCAAAACACCGTCAAGAAGACAAAAGCTTAAAAGGAAATTTATACACCATTAAATAACCCATACGTTGTACATTTCTGTCGGCTTATATTTGGTAAAAGAAGCAATATAAGAACAGTACTGTACGTCACGAATCTGAAACGAATCATAGCCACTCCACATCGAAAAGAAAAGCCCTCGGTTTCGGCATTTCAAAACTACCAAAGTCTTAAAGCAAGGCAAGCGAATTCGATCGCAGAATCAAGATAGAAATAACGTTAAGAGGTTTAAAGATTGACGTGGAAAGTGGCTAAACTCTATTCCGAGGAACAAACGGAAAATAAAATTCGAAAATACGGTTCGAAAGTTAACGTTGAAACGAGTCCAAAAGCACTTCTTTTCTTACAAAGAAAAAACTACCAACGAACTAAAATTAACCAAAATTCAAAATGACTCTTCGAGCAGTTCAGGTAGCCCCAGCTCAAAATGGTCTCAATGGTACCAGCCACGTTGCCAAGCCATTATCCCACCCTAGCAACGAGCTGCGCACGTCTCGTTGCGTGAAATATACCATGTTTTTCAAAAACATGTTTTTCCTGTTATGCGGAGTGTTTATCGGTGCCATCGGTATAATCGCTTTGCAAGAAAAGGGGAAATTACACGGAAAATTTGATGGGCTATTCCTCGACCCGGCTGCGATAATGCTGACGGTAGGCGTCGTGGTGTTTATTGTGTCTTTCTGCGGCGCTCTTGGGGCTTTACGGGAAAATAAGTGTCTGTTGCGGTTCTTCTATGCCTGCGTTATACTCATAATTTTGGTGCAAATAGCTATCGGACTTGGGGCGTATTTCGCCAAGAACTCGATAAAACGAAAAATCGACAACGTTTTCCAAGAAGCGATATTGAAGTACCAAGACGACCCAGATTTGCAATCGTTGATCGATTACATGCAAATCGAACTCAAATGTTGCGGTTCTATCAAACCCGAGGATTGGAGCAAAAATCCATACTTTAACTGCAGTTCCATTTACAAAGAAAGCATCTCCGACATCGGCAGTTTCTGTTCGGTACCTCACTCGTGTTGTCGAGACGACAAACTTAATCGGATGTGCGGTTTCGGCGTGTTCACCAAAACGTTTGGTGCAGATACTCGTGAGGAGAAGATACATATGACGGGGTGTGTTGAAGCGTTGGAGACGTGGTTTAAGGACCATGTTATGTACGCTGGTATCATTTGTGGGTTCGTACTGGTATTACAAGTGATCTCGGTCAGGTTGGCCTTCATTATGATATCGGATATTAACGACATTATAAAATGGCGCGATCGGTATTAGGGTGTGATGTGTAAGGGTGTATTAGACTTAGATTGTATACCGTATTTACTCGTTTGAGCGCCGCGGCGCTCTTTAAATTTCCAGAGCTTCAGATGCGGCGCTCATTCGAGGGCGGCGCTCAATCGGGGGTGGCGCTCAATGCACAAATCTTTTATTTGTGAATTATATCAAGAACTTTTAACAATAAAATAAACAAGTTTTGAATATCTTTGTCACTAAATGTCCCCATTTCGACGGTGGAAAATTATTACACTGTTTAGTGTGGCGCTTATTCTGGGGCGGCGCTTTTTAAAAAAATTTGATCTCAAATGCGGCGCTCATTCGGGGGCGGCGCTCAATCGGGAGCGGCACTCAATCGAGTAAATACGGTATGTATTGTGGATCTGAACTTGCTAGAAGATCGTTGAAACTACATATGTAAAAAAAAACACATACAAGTTGTTACAAATCTGCAAACAAGTTGTAACAATATCAAGATGTTGTTGTGACAAGTCTGGAACAAGTTGTTATCATCTTGTTACAAGGTTGATGACGGTGACAGACTTAATTGGCCTTAATTGCTACAAGTTGTTCCAACAATACTATTAATACAGGCCGCTTATTCAGTTCATAAACGAACTTGCTATCATCAACTTGTAACAACTTGTATGTTCATACGATATCAGACCGAAATTTGGCCAAATATAACTCGCTGTGCAGTGTGCAATAAACATTTTAAATCTGACGAAAAACTCACAATTTGTTTGCTAATTTTATCGATATTTTTCTACATGTAACATATAAAATATAGTTTAATAATATATTCCTAATGTTTTTACTTACCAAAAAGTACATTTCTGTTGTGAATAAAGGAATAAATATCTTCAAAATAAGTGTGAAAAACTTGAAAAACTTATATATTTTTGGAAGCCATTTTTGAAATTTTTGAGCATTTATTATTAGCCACGTGCTGGGATACAGTACGTACTTTGTGTAAGTTTCACTTTTGTGGCTCTACAGTCTACAGCAAATACGACTGATCTTTCAAACATAGCTGTACCGTCCTGGCCTGCGAGCGGAATCTTTAAATGGTCATATAGAGTGGGTCTGTGTATCTGCAACATAATGCGTGTTTAGCAAGTTACGTGAAATATATGTTTGACATTTATAGAAAGGAAGAAAATTATAATAAAATTTCTCAATTATATTTACTTGTATTTCTATATTTACAAGACTTCTACATATGATGAAAATAATTTTAAAACATATTTATTTTCTCACTCTCATCACTGCTGATTGACGGTATTCACTACCCATCTGCTGGACGATATAGTGGTTAGTGAAACCACCCAACGGACCAATTACAGTCAAATCGGATGTTCTCTTGCGAGCAACATTGCAATATTCAATATTGTTCCAAAATATTGCTTTGTTTAGAGACTTTGTTCACAAATCTTTTGTGAATTTCAACTTGCAATTTGTTCGCGTCGCTTCCAAATTGCTCAGAGCAATCTGCCTTTCAAAATTACAATATTGTGGGACAATATTGCTCGCAAGAGAACATCCGGTTTGACTGTAATAGGCAAGTTGCACTGTGACACTAAACATCTTTCGTTTAACTTAAGACACAAATAATAAGCATATATAATTTATTTCATTTACATGTAAAATTATAACAACAGTTAATTGTGAAAGTCACACAGCACTCATTATTGGTGATTGATATCCAGTTATAGTTGATCGTTGGTGCCCGTGGACCAGTCCACATTGCGCTCCTTGTCGGAGAGATGCTTGGGGGCCTAGAACCCAGAGTAAATTAAATAAGTAGTATACTTAACATCAATATACTAATTTCGAAGCTGAACTAACAATCCTGGATAGGTCTATAAGTTCTAAACTGTTCTCCCTAGAAATCCAGTAAGGATCATCTCTTATTGATCCAGTGTTACTACGGGAGGAAACCTAAACTAAACTAACTTTATTTATACTGGATAGCTCTATCAGTTCTAAACTGTTCTTCCTAGAGGTCCAGTAAGGATCATCTCTTATTGATCCAGTGTTACTACAGGAGGAAACCTAAACTAAACAACTTTATTTATACTGGATAGCTATATCAGTTCGAAACTGTTCTCCCTAGAGGTCTAGTAAGGATCATCTCTTATTGATCCAGTGTTACTACAGGGGGAAACCTAAACTAAACTAACTTTATTTATACTGGATAGCTCTATCAGTTCTAAACTGTTCCCCCTAGAGGTCTAGTAAGGATCATCTCTTATTGATCCAGTGTTACTACAAGAGGAAACCTAAACTAAACTAACTTTATTTATACTGGATAGTTCTATCAGTTCTAAACTGGTTTTCCTAGAGATACAATAAAGGAAGGACACCTGTGCTGTTTGGTAGAGTCAAACTGGAATACTCTTTTCACATGCGACTGAGGTGAAATTACAGTCAGCCAACTGCAGAAACTCAATCCCAGACACAATTTAAAGTGAAGGGTACATGTACTGTACCGCCCAAGTATGTAGTTACCAAGAAGTACGCAAGAATTTTCGTACCTTTGCTCAGAGACACTTTTGATTGAACAGCACTTGGTCCTTTGCGGTTCGTTCTCTGTGGTCCAGAAACGAGAGCCTTATTTGCTCCTGAAGCACTCGTATAATGACGCCTGCAATAAAAAATATTTAATAAACTTTATATAACTATCCAGTATCAATAAGAGATTATCTTACTGGACCTCTAGGGAGAACAGTTTAAAACTGATAGATCTATCCAGTATAAATAAAGTTAGTTTAGTTTAGGTTTCCTCCTGAAGTAACACTGGATCAATAAGAGATGATCTTTATTGGACCTCTAGGAAGAACAGTTTGGAGCTGATGGAGCTATCCAGTATAAATAAAGCTAGTTTCGTTTAGGCTTCCTCCTATAGTAACACTGGATCAATAAGAGATGATCCTTACTGGACCTCTAGGGAGAACAGTTTAGAACTGATAGAGCTATCCAGTATAAATAAAGTTAGTTTAGTTTAGGTTTCCTCCTGAAGTAATACTGGATCAATAAGAGATTACTCTTACTGGACCTCTATGTAGTAACACTGAATCACTAAGGAATGATCTTTTCCTCAAGTCTAATTTAACTGTAGCCAACATCCTGGACTTACACAAGCTGACTTCGATCAGGGCCTTTCCTGAGTGACGCTTGTGGTCCAACCGGTTGTAACCTGTTTGGGGAGATGTAAACCTGTTTTCCTCCTGGCGGTTTTGGTGCTGTTGACGTTTTTGCCGGGGCCCTTTTAGGTTCGACTATCTGTCGTGACGGTTGAGGGCGTGGGGTGTCTTTAGGCTGAGTTGTTTTCTGTTGAGAAATCCTTCTGGTCTCGACAGTGAAGGCTGGGAGACTCGCTCCTGTGAAAGCAAAAGGAATGAAAAATGGTTCTTTTAGAGACACTGAGAACTACTACTGTTTTTGAGACTGACCGATTTACTGACACACAGACGGACCGACCGAATGACTTGCTGGCTGGATTGTGGACTGGCTGATCGGCCAACAGACTGGCCTATAAACTGATCAACTGATGAAACGCTCCAATCAACTGATGAAACGCTCGACTCACCAACTGAGCAACTGACTGACAGGCCGACCGACCAGCCAACTAAACAAGTAACTGACGGGCCAATCAACTGACCACCTGAGCGAACCGACCAAACAACTGATCGACCGACCGACCAAACAACTAACCGAGCAAATAACTGACTGACCGACCAGGCAACCGACACACAACTGCATGAACGACCGACCAGGCAACTGACCAAGCAACTGACCAAGCAACTGACGGACCAAACAACTGACCGACCGACCAGCCAGCCAACCGATCAAACAACTAACCGAGCAAGCAACTGACCGACAGACCAGCCAACCAAACAAGCAACTGACGGACCAACCAATTGACCAACCAGCCAACCGGCCAACAGACCAGCCAACCAACCAGACAACTGACCAACCGACCGACCGACCAAGCAACTGATGGACCGACCGACCAGCCAACCGACCAGCCGACCAACTAGCCAACCGACCAGCCGACCGACCAACCAGCCAACCGACCAAACAGCTAACCGACCAAACAAGTGACCGATCGACCGACCAAGCAACTGATGGACCGACCAGCCAACCGACCAAACAACTAACCGACCAGCCGACCGACCGACCAGCCGACCAACTGACTGACCGACCAGCCAACCTAACGAGCAAATGACCAACCGACTGCAAGAAAATTGAGAGAAAGCTTACTTTGCTGGGCAGCCGCAGCAGCGGCAGCACGCCGTCTTTCAGCTTCAAGCTCCGCCTTCCTCTCAGCCTCTCTCTTTGCTCTCAATTCCTTCTTTATCCTGTCCATATCCTTCTTCCGTTCCGCCGCCTTCCTCTTCTCTTCTGCTTCTTTTTCTTTGCGTTTCCTCTCCTCAGCCTGTCGTTTCCTTCTCTCTTTTTCAATGTGAGCATCTGTAGTGTTATGAGAAATAACAAATATATTCATCAGAAAAACGCTGCATTGTATATACCATGGATAATAAAATAAATGGATAGGACACTAGCTGACGTCACAGTCTAAACCTAGTTGCAATCTGTGACGTCACGCGTATTGCCAAAGTTCTCGGCATTTTTGTTGTTTCGCTATATTTACGGTTTAAAAGAGTAATATTGAAGCATAAACTGGAGTAGTTATATCTCGGGCTTAATGGACCCCATTCTATGCGCATAATTAGCCTAGTTACCCTTAATAATTCATGAGTTATGCAAATTAATTTGCATAATCGATGACGTATTTTTCCGAAGGTTCTCCGATGATGATAAAACAACGAGGGCTTTCCGATTATTAATTTGCATAATCGATGACGTATTTTCCGGAGGTTCTCCGATGATGATAAAACAACGAGGGCTTTCCGATTATTAATTTGCATAATCGATGACGTATTTTCCGGAGGTTCTCCGATGATAAAACAACGAGAGCTTTCCGATTAGTCGCC